CGTCGTCTGGACGCCGAGCTGCGTCAAGGCGACGGCCGTGATACAGTGGAGGTCTGATCTATTGCTCACGAGGATCAAGAGAAAAGAACATTTACTAGTACTTATAGAACATTTGCTTTTAGAAGAATATCATTTGAATTATGTATTGCCTATGTAACTTTTCAAAGATATATGATGTCAATTTTCTATAATCTAATTGAAAATGGAATTGAAATTTTTATGGATTATTTCTCAGTATTTAAAACTTCTTTTAATTTATGTTTAGATCATTTAGCAAGAGTTATGAAGCGTTGTGAAGAAATAAATTTTGTTCTCAACTGCGAAAATTGTAAATATATGGTTGCATGACGAATAGTATTAGGGCATAAAATTTCTGAAAAAGTCATAAAAAACTCTCCAGAGCTCCATCATTCCTTCCATGTCAAATCCATTATCCCAAGGACAAAATCCACCATTAATTGAGCTTACCCGAACCCGGACACATTCGAATTTCATTACATTTGACTCAGTTTCACCATCCATCACTTCCATTAACTTCTCTGAGCAATAAATCCCACTTCCCTAATCAATTGTGCAAACTCTAAGCCCTCTAGATCATTGCTTAATTGAGGAGCACATGGGTTTGATCAACTTCATAAACTGAGGCTTTGGGACTTCAAATTGGGACTTGAAGCATACTCATTGGATCGTTATAAAGTTGATACAACAATTGGATTGAGAAGATCACCACCAAATTGAGGTACCTTTCTATTTTTCTTAGTTCACTTTGGTTTTCGGCCTTTGCGAAATAAACATGCTTGCTAAATGATCTTTTTTGTTAGATAGATAGGTCTTAATGCGATGAACGTGTAGAGCCGTAGATTTTTTAAATCCATAGAGAAATGAAGTAGATCGAGCAGTTTCCTTTATATGGACTGTGCTCGATTCTTAGCCCTTTATGAACAATGAACTGATACCATCCATTTCTTATTTAGAAAAATGGGTGACTCGGATTAAAGTGGGATTATGTGTCATTGACATACGGTATTGTGGAGAGGGAGTTGATGAGTAGGTTGTTACGGCCAAGGCAGTGAATCAGAGCGAGACACATGGAAAGGGAGGATGATGAGGCAGCTGACACGGCGGGCCTATAAAAAAAATTACTTAATTATTCTGAATTAATAAAATCCATTTAATTCCACATAACTTTAAAAATTATAGTAAATTAAAAAATGATAAAAATACAAAAATAAATGTATTGGATTCGAGAAAACTAAGAAAATTTAATAAAAATAAAATCAGAAGATAATAACATTAAATAAATTTTAAATGATTTTTAAACCATTAGAACAAATATTAATTCATAAAATTTAAAATATAAATCAAAATAAAATGAAATTACATCTGATTGAACCTCTTGACCATATGATACCTCTGTAATTTTTTTCATAAATAGATATAAATTTTGATTACTTAAATGAAGTTTCCTCGTGCTTTTGCATTTATCGAAAAAAAATAATTCTAGAAATTAAAATATATTTTGAAAAAAATATAGATTAACCTCTGAAATATTTAATGGCCTATGGGTGATCACTTTATTCAATTAGACATTAATCTTGATTATTACATGATAGTTTATTAAATTTTCTTAATAAATGTATATTTGTAAATATTATATTTATAGTTTAAGACCTCTTTTATTTAACATTGGATTATATTAGGGGTTAAATGAGTAAAAACTATGCTGAAACATTGATGGGAAGAATGAAACATGATGCGTTAGTTAGAACTTTAATCAAATCCATAAAACATGCAAACAGTTATTAAGATTAATTAGTAAATTGTTAAGAATTTGAAACCTTAAAGTGCTTGGATGATTAATTGGTGGGCAATACTGTTTGAAATTGATTAACTTACTAATTAAGATCTCCCACCACAATTTAAATGGTTTTGCATAATAATCTACTTGAAAATTATCAAAATTTATAAAATTATGAAATCATGTTTAAGGGCTAAAATAAACAAATAAAAATGATTAAGTTGAATAATCTAATTGGAATCATACTTAAAATCATAAATGAATAAATTTCAATAAAATTGAGATTAGTTTGAAAGTAAGCATTGGTGAGCATGTAGTTTTCCCTTAAATTTACAAATTTACTTTTTCTTAACTTTAATTCATTAAAACAAAATTCAATTGAATAAAAATTATTGAACTTTATGGAATAACTTGAACTTTATAAGTAAATAATATACTAATTGATAGATAGATAGATAGATAAGTATATATATATATAGTGAATTTTGATAGTTTTTAAAGCAATTTAGGATATTTTTTTTATTTTCTTCAAAATTGTAAAATTGCCTTTATTACCTTAACAACTTAAAAATAAACTATATATAATTCAAAATCACTAAAATTTAAAATGGAACTCTTAAATGGAACATAAATAACAAAACACTATAAAAATTTAAAAAAAAAAAAAAAAAAAAAAAAAAAAAAAAAAAAAAAAACTTATCTTTCCACTTAGTAAATGAAAGAAGTAGAAGTAATGAAACCCAATTAATCGAACCAATTTGTTAATCAACTGAAGATAAATCATTAAAAATATTTCCAACATAGGCAGAAGTGGTTGAAATATAAATAAGATATTTAAAAATATAAATTTCTTAGTAAAATATGAATAATTTTTTTTATAAAACTCCAAAATAAATGAAGTCTTCACCCATAGGTCAATTGAATTGACAGAAGTAATAAAATAAAAAAATTTGCTTTGATTCATTACTCTCTTAATTATTTTCTATTAATAAACCTATTAATAAGTCAAATAATTCATGAAAAATCTAAAATGAACTTGAAATGATTTAGAAAATTATGAGATTGTTTGGAATCATACTTCAAACATTTAAGTGAAATTTAAAGTACTTTGGAGACCACTTAACTTTATTATGAATTTTTGAATAAAATCACCTTCAAAATTAAGATAATTCTAACAAATACAATAAAATGCAAAAATACATAAAATTTTAACATAAAGCTTTTCAACTTAATATTCATTTTTTTACATTATTTTGAAATTACGTAAGTCGAAATAATTTAAACCTTAAAAATCACAAAATTTTCAACAAAATAGTTCATAAGATTACAGAAAAACAACGAAAAAATCTAAAAGTATAATGATTTGAGTTTATAAGAACCATATTCACTTCCCCAAGTGATTAATGGATTCTTACAAATTTTAATGATGTTAAACCTTGATATATGTCTTCAATAAAGCATATAAATGAGCTTAATTAAAAAAATATATACTAATCATAAAAATATAATAACAATAAAAATTAATAAAAAAAAATAATAATTAATCCTTTAGGTTTACAAAGGCTTCTTCGACGACGTAAAACAAAAGTTTTCCGATCTAAACAGATTTAACTACCTCTTTAAGAAAAGTAAATCCAAAACTAACAATAATAACAGGATGATGGAACCATGAGATATTGACCAGTGTAGCATAAAATAAAATTTAATTAGTTTTCAATAGTCACTTCTGTCATAATAAACATTTTATAAGAACTCTAACCTAATTTTGTTTCGCAAGGCTACTATAAGTAAATAATAAGAACCTATGATAAACCTTTTAAGGCATGATTTTCTTCTTTTCTTGAGTCATTTTCTTTATAGACTTTGGTGGTGTTGTGGCTAGTCAATTATCTGCCTCTCATATATCTAAAAGAAAATGAAACATGAAACGAATGATGAACCTCATCTAAAACCCAACGTTTTCTCAGATGGTGTTGATTAATTAATCATTACCTTTTGGATTCCGCATTTGTTTGTTTAGAATGACTTAAATCATCACACACTCTTATGCTTTTGCATGATTGTATGTCATGCAATATAAAAACCTATCTTTTAGGATTCTGATGTAGTTTGTCTAATACGAGGCTTTTGCATGTTTCTATATTGTGCAATATAAGTTCTAAATTTCTATATAAATTACATGATCGAAACATCATTCATTTAAAAGAATAATAATAAAATACAGAAAAAAAAAACAAGAGACAAAACAATGCTTTCTATAATAAAATCAAATGCAATAAACAAAACCAAAGCGCATGACAAGAATGCATCCGAAGCAGCAGCCACCAACGCGAATATTTCAATCTCAGGTTAGTATAGCAAGCAGTCAGTCACCCGCCGAAACTATGATCTTCATGGCTGTCCCATAAAAAATTTCAAAAACCTGAAATAGCAAAAATGTTTAATTTTATAATTTTTATAATTATTTATTGGCCCCTAGAATCAAACAGGGCGTTATAGTTCTTCAAACAGGATGAAAAGCCATACCTGTAATCAAAAGCAAACCTCAATTCTGTGCGAGAGACCCTCAGCTGGAAGGGAGGCTCCACTGCACAACTCTTTGTTCATCACAAATTTTCCATTTTTTTATAGAAGAAAATAAGGAAATTTACATACATACCATTTACTTCCTATGTATTTACATATCTAACATCTAAACATTTAACTTTTACATACACCTTACTGATCCATGACAAGTGCATTTTAGTTTTTTACAGTCAAAATAGTGGTATATTTTATATGATACGAAAGATTTTACTGATCCATGACAAGTGCATTTTAGTTTTTTACAAAAATAGTGGTATATTTTATATGATACGAAAGATTTTGGTGGTATAAATGTAAGAAGATAAGTTCAAAGTATTTGATATGCACATGCATAGGAATTGGGTGGTATGTATGTGAATGCCCGTTAAAAAATCAGAAGATATCAAAGCCCTTGAATCTGTTTTGAGATTCGTGCAAAACATAAATAAATCTTTTCCACTCATCTCCAAATAAATCTAAGGGCTTTGAGGCCATCGAGGAGCAATTTTTATTTATTTATTTATTTATTTATTTTTGTTTATAGATTATCCTGTATTAGCTTATTCAAAAGTGTGGTGAGCAAAGCATCTCTCTTCTCAGCCCTGCTCTCCTCCCTCATCCTCCTCTGCTCTTCCCTCTCCCTCCAAGCCTGTTCAAGCATCAGCCTCTCCCTCTCCAGCTTCTCCATCGAATCCCTCCATTCCCGATCAAACATTTGCCGCTCCTGAGCTCTTCGATCCATGACCTCCCACCAACGGGCCTCCAATTGCTGCTGCTGCTGCAAGAACTCATGGAGCAGGTCATGAATGCCGCTATTGGCTGGTCGAGATTTGTCGGGAGCGGTTCGGGTCTGTTGTTGCAGACCAGTTCGATCAGCCTTTTTCCTCTTGGTTCGGGTCGGTTTCTCTTCCTCACTGTCTTCTTCATCTTCGTCGTCGTCATCGGAGAACTCGTCGGAGGATCGGCCACCGCTAAGCCTTTTTAGTTTCTTCTTTGAGAGAGGGATGCCGGCTTCGGATTCCAGAAGGAGGCGCTGCATATTTCTAGCGCGTTCAGCGAACAGAGCGTGCAGTTCTTCGAAGAAGGGGCAATGCCTTCCACTCTCTGCATCGGCTGTCTCCTTACCCTATAAAGATTGAAGGACATAGAAGAGTTGGTTTCTGCATTTTTTTTTTTTTTTTTTGGGGTTAAGTCCAGGGTTGAACTTAAAATGGGTTTAAGATGTTTGTAGTATTTCTGTGGCTTAAAAATTTATTTGACAAGATTTAATCTAAATTTTGACTATATTTGCAACCAAACAGCCCTTTAAATTTACAGATGTGCTTCCTTAATGAACACAAAATAACTATAACAGATTGAATATGGAAGTAGTAGCATGCATTATACATTAAAAAAAAAAATTAAAATTATAAACATGCACAAGTGTGATGAGAAGATGTAACAAGCAAATAAAACTACTACGAAATGAATAAAACTGAGTGGATTGAAGATGAGCAATGATTCACGGACACTCCTAATTAATGAGTGATGCATTATCCGACATGTATCGGACATGGACACAGCTCTGACACATATCGGATACAACATTGAAGTCTCGAATTAAATAATATTAAAAAAAGAATATGCATGTCGTGACGGACATTTACGTCCTAGATTTCGACACAATTATCCTAAATTAATAAATAAAGAAATTTGAGAAAAATGATTTTTATGATTAAAATTAAAAATGTAAAATTTAGAAAAGATTGGCATGCATGCCACTCAATTCTTATACATTAATGTATCTAAAGCCAAAATTTTAATTTTTACACATATGTAACCTTACATATGTATAAAAATTAAAAAGGAGTAATTCGTTTGATTTGATTTATATATTTGAATGTGATAAAGAAAGATTTGGATGGCATAAATGTAAAAATCAAATTTTAGGTGTAAGATAT